TTAGCATATAAAAGATGTATTGCAATGGAATACTATGCAATAGTAAAGAATAATGATGCATCTTCGAAACACCTCATAACATGGATAAACCTAGAAGACATTATGCTAAGTGAAATTAGTCACTCACAAAAGGCCAAATATTATATGAGAGCACTAATGCAAAACGTCAAGAAAAGGTTTACACATGCAGAAAGAAACATTCTTTGAAGGATACCGGGGGTAGAAGGGGAAGGGAGGGTAAATCACTAACTGGAAGGTAGATGGGTATTAACTTGGGAGAAGGGAAAGGCAATGCACAATCGGGAGGTGAGCGTAAATGATCGAGGCAGAGGAAGACAGGGAGGAGTACAAGAGTTAAAGGCAACAGAGGTGAACACTATTAGTGCACAAACCTGCAATAACGGTAACAACAATAATCTATGAGTGGATACATAGACACTCAAGCTGAACAAGGGTGGGAAGGCGACTGGGACTACACCCACAAATATACATAGGTTTGACAGAGGATATTTTTATATATGTGTTTATATGTGCTGCAAATATATCCATGAATATAGTAGAGCAAACGGGGCAAAATTATGAAAACATAGTCACAGCCAAACACCTTGAGGGAATGAGTAGCTGGTGGTGGGGACTCAGGACCATGGTCATGGGAGACACTAAGGTCAATTAGAATAACATAGTCCACAAAGAAAATGTTTTACGTCCTACTTTGATGAATAGCGACTGGAGTCTTAAAAGCTTCTGAGTGGCCATCTAAGGTGCACCTCTTGATCTCTCTTCATTGAAAGCAAAAATGAGTGAAGAAAATAAAAAATTTAAGGAAACAATTAGTCCAAAGGACTAAAGGACCACGTGAACCCCAGCTTCCATGACCCTGAGGCCAGAAGAACTAGATCATGCCTGGCTGCTACTACTGACCCCTCTGAAAGAGATCATAATAGGAGGTCCCGGAGAGAGTGGGAAAAAATGTGGGAAAAGACTCAAAATCATGAAAAGGGCCAGGCTTACTGGCCCGACAGACTGGTAAAACCCCCAAGACTATGGCCTCTAGTCACCTTTGGGCCTGGAATTGAACTCACTCTCATGGCTTCCAGCCAAACAACAGATAGGCCTACAAGGTGAACATTTACACCAGGTAGGTACACTCTTTAGAACAACCAGCCACAGGAGATGAGAAGGGCAGCATTGGCACAGGGAGACAGCTCAGAGGGCAGGAATACATAGGAAAGAAGGACACAGGGAAAAGCTAACCCCAGGGAGGAAGGGGAAAGAGAGCTGTTACATTGTGGGAATTGCAATCAATATCAGGAAACAAAACGTGTATGAACTGTTGAATGCAAAATGAATTTGCTCTGTAAACTTTCACCCAAATCACAAAAGGGAAAAAAAAGTCACAAACACAACAAGCCCTCAAAATCAGAAAAGTGACCAGGCTTACTGGGCCTAATAGAGACTTTTGGAACCCCCAAGACCGTGGCCCTTAGAGACACTCTTCAAGCCTGGAATGAACTCACCCCCATGGCTCAACTTTCAGGCAAACAGCAGACAGGACTTTAAGGTGAGCAAAAACACAAGAAAGGTATGCATTTGCTAGAACAACCAACAACATGAAACTAAAAGGGCAGCATGTGCCCAGGGGTAAAGCTCAGAAGGCAGAAAGGGATAGGAAAGAAGGGTGGATGGGAATGGGAAACATGGGGAGGAAGTGGGAAGAGAGCTGCTACACTGGGGACTGCGTTCAACGTCACAAAACATGTATGAATTGTTGAATGACAAAGCAATTTGCACTATAAACTTCTATCCAAATTACATATAAAAGTTAAAAAAAGAGAAAACTGTCGTTGTTAGATCCCATTAAGTCAATTCCAACTCATGGCGACCCCATGTAACAGAGCAGAACTGCCCCACAGGGTTTCCTAGGCCGTAGTCTTTCTGGGAGCAAATCGCCAGGGCTCCAGCAGAGGCTCTGGTGGGGGAGGGAGGTGTCAAACTGCTCACTTTGGGTTTAGCAGCCAAGCGTTTAACTATTGTACCTCTGAGTCTCCTTATATAAAAGATAGTGAATAACAGCCCTGGTAGCACAGTGGTTAAAGAGCTCAGCTGCTAACCAAGAGGTTGAAAGTTTCAACATACCAGCTAGCTACTCTGTGGGAAAAAAGATGTGGCGGTCTACTCCATAAAGATTTACAGCCTTGGAAATCTTACGGGGCAATTCTACTCTGATCTATAGGGTTGCTATGAGTTAGAATTCACTCAAGAACAGTGGATTTGGTTTTGCTTGGATTCTGGTCTGAGCTTTGCCAAAGTCCTAGAGCTAGTTCCTCATCCTCTGTAAAGCCCAGCACCTTCACCTGTAAGAATGAGGGGATATCTACCTGTCTTAGCTAGCTAGTGCTGATGCAACAGAAATATCACAAGCAGATGGCTTTAAAGAACAGAAAATATTTTCTTATAGTTCATGAGGTGTGGTAGTTAAAGTTGTATGTCAGCGTGGCTGGGCCTAGTTGTGTGGCTGGGCAGCCGGTGGTAGTTATTTCCCATGATGAGACTGGAAATCAACTCCATGGTGGGATCTACCATAAGCAGCTGAGTAGCTCCCTTAGGGATGTGGTCTGCTTCCCATAGATAATAAGCAGCAGCTTTGGGAATGGTCTCTAGCTTACGGCACACTTGAACCCTGCATGTAGCCATGTCGTTGTTCAGCAGCCTGCTATGCTCTGCTGACCTTAGGACTTCAGTTAATGGCCTCCTGTGTGGTTTGGTAACATCAGGACTATACCTTTTTTACTTGTCAACCTTGGGCTTGTCAGTCTCAGCAACCAGTAGCTGTCTGAGTGAAGAGATGCCCCTAGCTCCAGTGGCCTGGGAGCAAGAGGCTGAACTGAAGCCCAAGGTTGAGGGGCTTCCATTCAGCCCCTGGAGGCTGGCACTTTGAACTTGGACTTACTGTAAGAGAATAAACTCCTGTTTGATAAGGCCATCCCATTTGTGGTGTATGTCCTATTAGAGCGGTACTAGGTAACAGAACTTGAGGCTAGAAGTCCTAATTCAGGGTGTGGCTCTAGAAGAACTCTCTTTGTCTCTTTCAGATTCCACAGCCAGGCCGTTCTTCATTCCTTGGCAATTCCCATGTGCGTGTGTCTCCTGGTTCGTGTCTGTGTCTAATCTGCTCTTTTCATATCTCAGAAGTCATTAGGTTTAGGACACAATTTATACTGATGGGGACTCCTTAACATAGCAAAGAAAACCCTATTCCCAACCAAGATTACATCCATAGGTACAGGGGTAAGGATTCCAACACCTTTCTTACGGACACAATTCAATCCATAATATCACCTCCCAGAGTTGCTGAACACTATATTTTTTTTTAAAAAAAAAGCAAGCAAGAGTATTAGACACACAGTAGGTCTGCAGAGAAACATTTATTACACTGTCTATACAAATCCACGCCTATCCTGTATACTTTGGAATCTCTCAGATTTGACCACGGGGAGGATCCGCACCCAGTGCTCAAGTCAACAGCTGAGTCAAGACCAGATTTGACAAATGGTGGCTGGCAGTGAGGCGCAGCCCAGGGAGACACGGGTGAGAGGCCTCAGAACCCAGCTCTCCACACCAAAGGGCACACAGTTCCAGGATGCTCATTTCCTCTCCCAGCAGAGTATCCAAATCTTTCTATAAAGACAAATCGCCCTGTCTCTTCTAACAGCTGCAAGCAATGATAGAGACAAGAGAGAAACATGTTCTTCTGAGTCAGGATGTTCTGGGAAGTTTATTATTAAAAAAGTCACTCAAAACAGGATGGAACTTTAGGAAGGCTAATGGGGAAGCAGCCCAGACTTGGCTGGAATTTTAAAAAGGCCCACAGGAAGGAAAGGAAGGGATAAGGAACTCTGAGGCCAAGAAGGGCAAAGTAGGGGCAGGGAGGGTCCCTGGCCCAGGCTAAGGTAAGACCCTCTATCTATTCCATAAAGGATGTGATGCTTGAGAATAACCTGGCTATGATGGTTAATGTTATATATCAACTTGGGTAGGCTATGATTCTCAGTGGTTTAGCAGACACTGGACTCACTGCTCTTCTATAACGTAATACAATATCCTCCATTTTGTGATCTGATGTGAGCACCCAAATCAGTTGAAAAGTCTATCAATTGAAAGCCCGTCAGCTTCCTTGGGAGTGTGACCTATATCCAATATATATGGATATCTGGGCAAAACATGCTCTCTCAATCCTGCATCCAACACATTATCCTCTGACCTCCGGTTCTTGGATGTGAGCCAGCCATCTGACCAGCTGATTTTTGGTTTTTCAGCTCCTGCAACCCTGTGAGTCAGGAGAAGCCTTCAGCCTGATGCCTGACCATGGATTTGGGACTTGCCAACCTCCACAACTGTGTGAGCCATTTCCTTGAAATAAATCTCTCCATATTTGCTTCACTGGATTTGCTTCTCTATAGAATCCGGCCTAAAATACTGGCAAAGCCATCTGTTTAGCCCTTATAGGGTTGGGGCCCAAGTAGCTGGTGTCAAGTCTGTAAGGAAAAAAAGTACATATAATATGTGTGTGTGTGTGTGTGTGTATTTATATATATATACACATACACATATACATAAACCCACCAGCCACTCCTTGGAAGGAAGATGGGGCAATCTACTTCCATAGT